CAGCCCTGTGAGCTGAATTAGCAGACGTACTGAATCCAAGGAGGGCATCTTGGGGCCCTCCGATCTGAGCCAGTTGGACAACCACCATGGAGGTTCCTTTAAAAGAATAATCACAGCTAAAAATGATCCAGCAATCCCACTCCTGGGCATATATCCAGATAAAGCCATGATTCAAAAAGGTACACGTACCCCAGTGGTCATTGCAGCAGTGTTTACAATAGCTAGAACGTGGAAGCCATCGAGATGTCCACCAGCAGTGGGCTGGATAAGGAAGATGTGGTATGCATATACAATGGAATATTACTCAGCCATTCAAAGAATGAAATAAGGCCACTTGCAGCAACATGGATAGACCTAGAGAGTGTCATACTGACTGAAGGCAGATAGAGAAGAAATATTGTATGACTTCCCCTATATGTGGCATCTAAAAAAAAAGCGATACAAATGAACTTGGGTTTCCCAGATGGTGCCAGGGGTAAAGAAGTCACCTGCCAATGCAGAAGACAAAAGAGACTTGGGTTCCATCTCTGGGTCAGGAAGATCCCCTGGAGAGGGGCATGGCACCCCACTCCAGTATTCTTGTCTAGGAAATCTGATGGACGGAGGAGCCTGGTGGGCTACAGTCCATGGGATGGAAATGGGCCAGACACGATAGAAGCATGCATGCACACACTCACAAATGAACTTATAAAAGAAAAACAGACTCACAGACTTAGAGAACTAAGTTACGGTTGCTGGGGGGAAGGATAGGGAGATGGGATGGTTAGGGGGTTTGGGATGAGCAGGTACACACTGCTGTATTTAAAATAGATAACCAACATGGACCTATTGTATCACACAGGAAGCTCTGCTCAATGTTATGTGGCAGCTTATTTAACTTATATGCAGAGTACCCCATGAGAAACGCTGGGCTGGAGGAAGCACAAGCTGGAATCAAGATTGCTGGGAGAAATATCGATAACCTCAGGTATGCAGGCAGCACCCTTATGGCAGAAAGTGAAGAAGAATGAAAAAGCCTCTTGATGAAAGTGAAAGAGGAGAGTGAAAAAGTTGGCTTAAAGCTCAATATTCAGAAAACTAAGATCATGGCATCTGGTCCCATCACTTCATGGCAAATAGATGGGGAAACACTAGAAACAATGGCTGACTTTATTTTTCTGGGCTTCAAAATCACTGCAGATGGTGATTGCAGCCATGAAATTAAAAGACGCTTACTACTTGGAAGGAAAGTTACGACCAACCTAGGCAGCATATTAAAAAGCAGAGACATTACTTTGTCCACAAAAGTCCATCTAGTCAAGGCTATGTTTTTCCAGTGGTCATGTATGGATGTGAGAGCTGGACTAAAAAGAAAGCTGAGCGCCAAAGAATTGAAGCTTTTGAACTGTGGTGCTGGAGATGACTCATGAGAGTCCCTTGGACTGCAAGGAGATCCAGTCCATTCTAAAGGAGATCAGTCCTGGGTGTTCATTGGAAGAACTGATGCTGAAGCTGAAACTCCAATACTTTGGCCACCTCATGCGAAGAGTTGACTCATTGGAAAAGACCCTGATGCTGGGAGAGATTGAGGGCAGGAGGAGAAGGGGACGACGACAGAGGATGAGATGGTTGGATGGTATCACCAACTCAATGGACATGGTTTGGGTGGACTCCGGGAGCTGGGAGGCCTGGCATGCTGCGGACACGACTGAGAGACTGAACTGAACTGAACTGAACTGGATGGGTGGGAGGTTTAGGGGAAAATGGATACATGAATATGTATGGCTGAGTCTCTTCACTGTTCACCTGAAACTTAATAACATTGTTTGTTAATCGGCTATACCCCAATAAAAAATTAAAAGTTTTTTTTTTTAAAGATATTTTAAAATCAGAACGGAAAAAAAAACCAGAATGGGTTAATATATGATGGTTGGACTTGGCTATTAATTTTTCAAAATGCTAGAGTTCTACTGCATTCCATTTATAAATATGAATTCAAGAAATATTAGAAGTGTAAACATTAGAAGTGTACATGATTTTTTTTTTATAAATTTGAGTTAGGCATGACATTCTTAAGCAAGAAGTGAAATCCAAAAACAATAAAGTGCTGATATATTTTTCTACATAAAAATTTTTTAATTTTTTTGAATTAAAAATAAAATATCCAAAAAAAGATGTGGTACATATATACAATGGAGTATTTATTCAGTCATAGAAAAAGAATGAAATAATGCCATTTGCAGAAACAAGGACGGACCCAGAGATTATGATACTAAGTGGAATAAGCCAGACAAAGACAAATATCATAGGATATCACTTATATGTGGAATCTAAAAAAAAAGTACAAATGAACATACCTACAGAACAGAAATAAAGCCACAGATGTAAAAAGCAAATTTATGGTTACCAGCGCGGCAAAGAGGGGAAGTGACAGAGACTGGGATTGACATGCACAGCCAAATGGAAGTGTTAGTCGCTCAGTGATGTCCAACTCTTTACAACCCCATGGATTGTAGACCTCTAGGCTCTTCTGGCCATGAGATTTTCCAGAAAAGAATACTGGAGTGGTTGCCATTTCCTTCTCCGGGGGATCTTCCCGACCCAGGGATTGAATTATGTCTCCTGTGTTGCAGGCAGATTCCTTACCATCTGAGCCGTCAGGGAAGCCCACATACACACTGCTATATACAGATAATAATATAGATAACTAATAATCTCCTCCACAGCACAGGGGCCTCTACTCAATACTCTGCAATGACCTATATGAGAAAAGAATCTAAAAGAGAGTGGGTATGTGTATATATATAACTGAGTCACTTTATTGTACAGGAGAAACTAATATAACATTGGAAATCAACTATACCCCAATAAAATTTATTAGAATGCATGCATATATGTAGACAGCTAGTCAGAAGTACAGGTTACGACAAGACTTCCCTTGCGGCTCAGCTGGTAAAGAATTGGCCTGCAATTCAGGAGACCTGGGTTCGATCCCTGGGCTGGGAAAGATTGAAGGTGGGAAGGGAAGGGGACGACAGAGGATGAGATGGCTGGATGGCATCACCGACTCCATGGACATGAGTTTGAATGAACTCAGGGAGTTGGTGATGGACAGGGAGGCCTGGTGTGCTGCAGTCCATGGGGTCGCAAAGAGTCGGACACGACTGAGCGACTGAACTAAACAGATGGCAACAGACTTGCAGCTGGGTGTCTGACAGGGAGAGGTGTCCCACGGGGCTGAGCCCTTCAGGGTCGGGTCTGACTCCATGTCCACGCTGAGCTGGATTCTCAGACAGCCACTGGTGTCCGGGAATCGTCTGTTGACATGGGGAAGCCACCTGATGCTAAGAGCTGACTCACTGGAAAAGACCCTGATGCTGGGAAAGATTGAAGGTGGAAGGAGAAGGGGACAATGGAAAATGAGATGGTTGGAGGGCATCACCAACTTGATGGACATGAGTTTGAGCAAGCTCTGGGAGTTGGTGACGGACAGGGAGGCCTGGTGTGCTGCAGTCCACGGGGTCGCAAAGAGTCGGACATGACTTAGCAGCTAAACAACAACAACATCAACAAATAGGGAAGCCACACATACACACAGACACAGACAGACACACACAGACACACAGACACAGACACACAGACACAGACACGCACACAGACACACACCTATGCACACACACATATGTACACACACAGACACATGCACGCACACATGTGCACACACAGACAGACACACACACAGATGCACACAGACACACATGCACACAGACACACAGAAAGACACACATGCAGACACATGTACACACATAGACAGACACACACAGACACACAAACACACACACAGACACACATATGTACACAGACACACATACAGACAGACACACATACATGTACACAGACACACACAGAGACACACGCACAGACACATGCACACACACAGACAGACACACACAGACACACATGCACACACACGTACACACACAGACACACACGCACACACACACAGACACACATGCACGTGCATGCACACACACAGACAGACAGACACACACACACACACATGTGCACAGACTGGAATGGGTCTGGGAACCCAAGGGAAGGAAGCGGTGGCCCCTGCCTTCCCTGGTTTCTGGGTGGCTGGTGATCCTTGCGGTCTCTGCCTCTCTCGGGGCTTTCTCCCTGTGGCTCTAAATCCCCCTCCTTACACGGCCACCCTGTTCCAGGAGGACCTCACCTTGATCACATCTGCAAGGATTCACAAGTCCGGGGCCGTCAACACGTCTTTCTGGAAACACGGTTCAATTCCCCAGAATGCAGACCTGTAAAGACGGGCTTTTCTGTTCAGAGGCTGCACTTCCCAGGTCGAGGCTCCTCTTGGTGGGCTGCCGCCCCAGGCGTTGTGCACACAACAGACCCGGACGGATGGACACGATGGAAAGCATGGCTGCTAGAAAAGTGAGACAAAACACACATGTGCAACTCTAACGGACTAAAACCCATGGTCAGTGCCCCTGAATTTCCTCCTGTCGATAAATAAGCAAACTATAATTGCTGCTGCTGGAGGGGCCCCGGTCAGGTTTTGGAGTCAAACGTGGTCCCCGCACTCAGAATATGGAAGAGCCACGCCTGTTGTGTTCAGTTTCAAAGATCAATATTGTTAAAACATTTATTGTTCGACCCAGTACTTTTGAAGATCTTTTATTTTTTTCTGCGGAGGTGGGAGGTGTCCTCTTTTGAGGGGGGTCCTAGTTCCCCTACCAAGGATGGAGCCTGGGCCCCCAGCAGTGGAAGCATGGAGTCCTAACCACTGGAGCGCCAGGGACGTCCTGGAAGCTTCCAGATCTAATGGGCTCCGTGAAGTGCTTCACGGATGGGCCGCGTCCCATCTGGTGAAGAGGAGGTTCTGCGGGAGGCCGCACAAAGTGGATCGTTTTCTTAGGCAGAAGGAAGGCAGAGCATGGAGTTGTGAGCGAGAGAAAGGCAGGACTGTCTTCCTCGGGGACAGAGCAGCCTCAGGACAGATGATCCCGCTGGGCCACCGGGATTACAGGCTGGTGGACGCGGGGACGTCCCTGGGGAGGCCGAGCCTCTGGTGAGGTCAGGTGTCCTGGGCCTCAGCGTGGGTGACAGCTCGGGGCCTGGTTTTCACTGTGAGCAGACGCTCCCCTGTAATGGCCTTAGCAGGATGACAATGTTTTGCTGTAGGTCCCAGGGGCCCGAGACGTGACCAAGGGCAGACCCCACGTGGCCCTTGCTCAGCAGGTGGTAACTCAAGGGGTCAACAGGAAACAAACCCTAGTCACGAGGGAGTCTCTCCCTCCCTGGGTGCTAGCCCAGGAGAAGGACCTCTGGCCCAGGGAAAACAGCCCCAGGGTGTTCTCAGCAGTCTGAGCCTCCGCAGGGTTTTTGCTGCTGGAGCTTCCTTTTCAGCTTTGCTTTCTGCTCTCACAGAAACTTCACCTGCGATCTCTGGGGAATTCCCAGTTCACCAACAGAGGGGATGGAGCAATAGTGCCCTCAGGGACTTCCCTGTCGGTCCTGTGGTTAAGACCCTGCACTCCCAGTACCAGGGGCGCAGGAGAACCCTGGTCAGGGAGCTTAAAGGCCACACGCAGCAGAACGAAACAATGCCTTCAGAGCAGGTGTGGGTGTCGGGTGTTGATGGCTCCCCACCACGGGTGATTAGGCAGCTCGATCAATGGGACTGCAAGGTGATCGCAGATCCTCTTGTGCTGTTAGGAGAATCCTGTGGAAGGGGTGAGAGAAAGGCAGGGCTGGGGGCAGCGGGGTGGGGCAGGGGGTCACAAGCGTGGGCCCACCGACTCTGCACACCTGTGCTGCCTGTGAACGCAGAGGCGCCCACCTTGCACGCCCACCTGGCCTCTGGTCAGGGACGAGCCCTTCTGGGATCAAGGAAGCTAAAGCCAGTGAACACCCTTGCAGGCCCCGGGGCCACCGACTGCTTTAACCCGGGGATTTAATGCTCTCTCGTGGGGTGAGTGGGCCTGGCTGTCTTCTGAGGGCTCGGTGGGCCGGATGTCACACTGGGTCAGGTCCCAGGGCCTCCCCGTGTGATGTGGACTCTCCCAGCCCGGCGGCCGTGCCCCAAGCCGGGGGACAGGTCAGCTGGGCCCTGAGCGGGGCTGGGGGTGGGCCAGCGCCGCTCAGCACCCGAAGCCCAAGCCCACTCTGCCAGTGGGCCCTGCTCACCCCCGGGCTCCCCCGAGGTCAAGGTCCGGCCAGGGTCAGGGAGCGCCGCCCGGAGTCCTCTCCCGGCCTCGCCCCTCCCCTGAGCGTCTCCCCACGCCTGCAGCCGTCCTCCCCGCCCCCTCCTCCCACTCCCTGGCCAGGTCCTCACTTCTCAGAGTCCAAACTGCCAGCACTTCCACAGGCTTCCACAAAGCCAGGCCCCCTGAAACCGAGCTCCTCTGCCGCACTCGTGAGTGCTGTCCCACCCTTTATCCCCTGTGTCCTTGGGGGTTAAGGAGCATCGGGAAAAGCCGGCCCTGAAACCAAGCAGGACCCTCTGGGGCCCTCCTGGGTGCAGAAGCCCCTCGGGTCCTGTTTGTCCTGTTTCTTGTTTGTGGAGAAAGGCTTTGGGCTCCGAGGCCCTCCCTGAGTTCCAGAGAGTGGACTCATGCAGTGACTAACCTGGGACGTGAAAGAACGGAACGGGGACAAAAGAGACACAGTCGAGCAAGGAAAGCAAGGACGGTTCCACACAGACGCGTCCCAGCTCCTCCTCAGGGAACCTGCGTGACAGCCTGAGGCACGCCTCTGGGAGCACCGTGACCGGCGCTGACCACAAGCACCAGACCCCAGAAGGCTGATGACCGAGGTTCCTGGAGCACCAACCTGTCCCCTCACCCCAGCCAGGCAGAAGGAAGTGCGTGAGCTACAACCCTCACCCCAAACTTCACCTTCAAAGCCCCTCCCCCGAGGGCCTTCGGGGAGTTTGGGTCTTTTGAGCCCGAATGGCCGGTTCTCCTTGGTAGGCCCTGCAGCAAACACTGTAGCTTTCTGCACTGTGGCCCGGGGTCAGGGGCAGGCTCTGCTGCTCGCCAGGTGAGTGGACTCAGCCTCTGTCCAGTCCAGCTGGGCTGGGCCCATGGGCTTCCTTCACGGCACTTTTCAGAGCTCTAACTGAAACCCTGCTTGTGGAACGCAGACTCAGGGTCCACACGTGAGGTCAGGGGCTTCGTCTGCCCCGTGTCCTGCAGCCTATGCGGGGCCGCCCGCACCCAGACATCCAAGAGGCGGCCTTCGAATGGACAGGTGATGAATGACGCAAGGATGGGGGCTGGGAGGAGAAGAGGGCTGATGGACTCACACGGCAGCGGAGACAGTTTTTAGGCTGGTGATTGAGTGGGATAGGGCTTCCCTGGTAAAAGAATGGTAAAGATGGTAAAGAATCTGCCTGCCATGAAGGTTACCCGGGTTCGATCGCTGGGTTGGGAAGATTCCCTGGAGGAGGAAATGGCACCCCACTCCAGTACTCTTGCCTAGAGAATCCCATGGACAGAGAAGCCTGGTGTGTTACAGTCCATGGAGTCTCAAAGAGTCGGACCCGACTGAGTGTCTAATAGCTTCAGGTCCGGGTAGGATGCTTGCGTTGGGATCCGTGACTCACCTTTGCTTCTCTGACATTTCTGCCTTTTGCACTTAAACCCCTGCAGACCTGGAGAGGTGACCCTGACAGAAGGGCCGGGCCGGGCCACCCCTCGGGAAATGGACTCCTGTCACTTCTGCGTCCGGGGCGGTTGAGATGAAGGTCCTGCCCCGAGAAGGACTCGCTTGCCCTCAGAGCCCAGGCAGCAGTGCATTCACCTGGCCCAGCTCCACCGCGGATCAGAACGTTTCCAGAAGGTTCCAGCGGGTGCTTGAGTGGAGGTCAAGGCCGACTGTGCCCAGGTGCTCCCGGGGGCACATGGCCCAAGGCAGGCTCAGGGGAGGCTGGGCCAGGCAGTCCTGATAAGATAGGCGCCCCTTCCTGCCTTCCTTCGGGTTCACTTGCTGACGGCGGGCACGGCCACGCCGCGGGCACAGGCTGACCCGCCCGCCCGTGGGGACCTGGGCCACCATCCAACGCAGGCCCGGGGCTTTCCGGGGCCTGCCCTGGGGTTGGCCACCAGGCAGCCCCACCCTGCCGTCCGCACCCAGGGCTGTGCCCGCAGATCCTGGCCTCGCCCAGTGCCCACCGGGGCCAGAGCTGCGGCAGGGCCTCCGTCACCTTGACCATGGGCCTCCCAGCCCCTCCTGCCTGCGGCCTGGTGCCCCTCGGCCGAGGCCCAGGCCGCTGCAGAGCTGGCGTGGAGGGTCTGGGCTCTGGTGCCGCAGCGAGGGGACGCTGCCCGACTCACAGGCGTGTGAGTGCCCCGGGCCCCGTGGTGGCTCTCCAGGCCTGCTGGGGCCAGCGGTGCCACAGGAGGCACACACGCACACTGGCACACACATGGGCACTGTCCCGGTCCTGCACATGCATGCTCACATGCACACTGGCACACACATGGGCACGCTCCCGGTGCTGCACACGCATGCTCACACGCACACTGGCACACACATGGGGATGCTCCCGGTCCTGCACACGCATGCTCACACGCACACTGGCACACACATGGGGATGCTCCCGGTCCTGCACACGCATGCTCACACGCACACTGGCACACACATGGGGATGCTCCCGGTCCTGCACACGCATGCTCACACGCACACTGGCACACACATGGGCACGCTCCCGGTCCTGCACACGCATGCTCCCTGCAGGCTCACACTGGGCCACGCGAGCTCCCATCGCCCTGCACTGAAGGTCTGGGGACAAAGAAGAGGTGTGCCCTGTAACAACGGGCACCTTGACCCTTACCCTTAGGTGTGTCTTTGGTTTGAAAGTGAAAGTGGACGTGTCAGTCGCTCAGTCGTGTCTGACTCTGTGACCCCACGGACTGTGGCCCTCCAGGCTCCACTGTCCATGGGATTCTCCAGGCAAGAATGCTGGAGTGGGTAGCCACGCCCTCCTCCAGGGATCTTTCCAACCCAGGGATTGAACCCAGGTCTCCTGCGTTGCAGGCTGATTCTTTACCAGCTGAGCCACCTGGGAAGCCCTTTTCATTTACTTAGCCACATCGACAGTGACTAGTTAGCTCCCTGACCAGGGAGCAAACCTGCGCCCCCTACCTTGGCAGTGTGGTGTTTTAACCTCTGGACTACCTGGGGATGCTTTGTGAAAGTGAAAGTGAAGTCACTGAGTCGCGTCCGACTCTTTGCGACCCCATGGACTGTAGCCTACCAGGTTCCTCCATCCATGGGATTTTCCAGGCAAGGGTACTGGAGTGGGGTGCCATTTCCTTCTTAAAACCAATGTTTTACATTGCGATGTTAGCACTGGCCCACAGTAAATATTCAAACAGCACAAATGAGTCCTCCACCCCGAGGCAGTGACTGTCTGTCCCTTACCTACGGGCCATGCCAACCTCAGACACCTGCCCGTGGAGCCTCCCGGAAGGGGCAGACCTGCTCCGGCCGGTTCCCAGAGTGCCGCTTCCTGCCCCCCAGCCCTGCCCCGTCTCTGCTCTTACCTTCTCTTGCCTGCTGATCTGTCCTTTACCTTCACTTCTGGATTTCTTTTCTTTTTTGGATTGCAGTAAAAATACTCTCAACATAAAATTTACCACTGTCACCAGTTTTAAGTGCACAGTTTAGGTTCACATTATTTATTTGTACTGGGTCTTAGTTGAGTTATGTGGGATCTTGTTCCCTGACCAGGGATCGAACCCTGGGCCCCCTGCCTAGGGGCATGGAGTCTTAGCCACTGGAGCCCCAGGAAAGTCGCTGGGTCACGTGGTTGTGCAACCACCATATCTGCATAATTTCCGGAACCTTCTGCATCAAACACGTCACCCCTCCCCCGACCCCATCCTCAGGCCCCGACTTCTGTCTCTGTATCTAGGAATCTGATGATCCCAGGATCCCACAGGCGTGGAACCAGTGTTTTCCTTGCCTCTGGCTTCTCTCACTGAGTGTCTGTCCCCAGGGTTCACCCCAGAGGCAGAGTCAGGCAGGATTCCCTCCCCCACTGAGGCTGAACACCCCGGGAATCTGTTTAGACTGTCCCCCTGGGGCTGTCTCCACCCAGGACAGGCCCTGCCGGCAGCCCTTCTCCTCCAGCCCAGCACCCGGGGCAGGGGGCCTCCCCCAGATGCTGCAGAGGTGGCCCTGCTGGGCTCCAAGCAGGCGTCGGGTGACCGCGAGGGACGACACAACAGGTGACTGTCACGGGCCGCTCTGAGCGCCTGGCAGCGGCACCCACGGCTCCTCTCGCATCGCATCCCAGAGCAGAGGGACAGGTGGACAGACAGACGGACGGGTGGATGCAGGGTCCTCAAGGCTCAGCCCTGGTGCCACGGGCCCCGTGCCCACTGGGAGCCCCAGAGGTCGGGCCTGGCCTTTCTCCTGCACCTTCCAGGCTGCTCCTCTTGCAGGGCGCTCCTGGCCCCGACCTCCGGCCGCCCTCCAGGCCGCAGGCGTCCCAGGTGACCGACCGGTTGCCCTGGATGCTCGCCCTGGTTCCGGAAACATTTGCATTTCCCCCGGGAGCCTTGGCGGCCTCAGGTGGATGAGGGCTGTGGGCAGGGAGCCCGGTCAGCCTGCCGTGGACTCGAGGCCGGTTCTGCAGGGGGCACGCCCCAAATCTCCCTGGCCTGCCCAGCTGTGTGCCTGCCGGCCTCCCGCCCCGACTCCGGGCCGCCTGGGGCCCCGCCCCGCAGGCAGACGGCCCCTCACCTTTCTCAGCGCCCCCCAGCGGGCAGACGGCCCGTCACCTTTCTCGGCGCCCCGCCCCGCCGGCCCGCCCCGCCCCGCCCCGCCCCTCCTGCAGACCCCGCCTCCACCACGCTCCCGCCGCGGCTGCCGTCCGGGCGCTGACTCTGCCTCGGGAGACAGAGGGCCTTTCAGGGCCGGGGCAGGTCTGGGAGCGGCAGGGGCGGGGCGGGAGGGGTCTGGCCGGAGGCCCCGGGTCCCCAGAGAAAGGCCTGCGTGTGAGGAGCCTCGGGCAGGACAAGCGGGCCTCTAAGGATGCCTGTCCCGCGCCCTGGGGCTGGGACGGGCCTGCGTCCTCGGGTGGCATCCGGGCGTCCTGGGGCCCGGGATCGCGTCCTCTCTGGGTCTCCGTGCGGCCAGGGGGCGGCCGGCACTGACCGCTCCGCGGGCCGGGCTTCCGGACGTACCCTCCAGGCGGTGGCCCAACAAAAATCTACAGTTCTCCTGAGTGTACCGCTGGGTACCCGGGTGAGTCGGGGGGCGGGCTCCAGCCTGTTTCTGTCTCGAGGAGGGCCGCGGGTGCTTGGCCAGCCCCCGCCTTGGTGACACATAGGGACTCACTGAGGGCAAAGCTCAGACGAGACCTCAGGCCCCACCGCCGGCCCCGCGCCTGCCCTGGCCACCTGGGCGAGCTCTGTCCTCTCCTACAATGGGCGTGTGGGGGAGGAGGCCGCAAACAAGAAGCCCTTTCTCCGCCTCAGGGAAATGAAATCCCTCTGACGCTGGGTCTTATCGCAGGCTTCTTTCCTCTTTGTCAGCCCTGCCTGAGCCCCTGCCTGCTTCAGTTGGTGACCCCACCCGGGGAGACGGTGATGGACACGGAGGCCTGGCGGGCTGCAGTCCACGGGGTCGCCAAGAGTCGGACACGACTGAGCGATGGAACAACCGCCCGGGGACCCCACACCAGAGCCGGCCAGGCCAGGCCCAGGGCCCCAGCACCAGGCGCGGCAGGGCCTCGTGGGCCTGGGGTCCCCTTGGCCCGGCGGCAGGCGCCCCCCAGCCCTGGCTCTCTCAGGGACCCTCGGGGGCCGGCTCTGCTGCTCCTGGTCTGGCTGGTGGCCTTCAGGCCTCTACGACTGGACACCCTGATGGATAAATGTGTGTGGGGGCCGTGATGTGTGTCTAAAACCTCCGCCTCCTGAGGCCCCATCAAGCTTGTAACAGGTTGGCCTCCCTTGCTGTCAACTTTGAAAGTTAAGTGTTGTCCCCAGATTGAGACCTAACATGCTGGACACCCCTGGTCCAGTGGTTGAGAATCTGCCTTCCAGGGCAGGGACTCAGGTTTGATCCTTGACCTGGGAACTAGAGCCCACATGCATAGGGGCTCTGGAGCCCTGGTGTCTCAACGAGAGAAAAAAAGAAAGGCTTAAGGCGAGGAAAGCCCTTACAAATGGCTGAGAAAAGAAGAAAAGCAAAAGGCAAGGGAGAAAGGGAAAGATACACCCAACTGAATGCAGAGCTCGAGAATAAAAAGGAGGGACAGGAAATCCTTCCTCAGCGATCAGTGCAAAGAAATAGAGGAAAACAGCAGAATGGGAAAGACCAGAGACTTCAAGAGAATCAGAGATACCAAGGGAACATTTCATGCAAAGATCGGTTCAATAAAGGACAGAAAGGGTATGAACCTAACAAAAGCAGAAGATATTAAGGAGAAGTGTTGGTCCTTCAATGGACCAGAACCTGGTGGTCCGGAGTCGACGATAAGAAAGTAAGAGAGAGAAAGAGGCTGATATCCCCTGGTTTACGTGGAAAGCCGATAGAGCCCTGTTCTCAGGGCTGGCGCTGCTGCATGTAGGCACCAGGCGCCCTCTCGAGTGGGTGAAGGCGCAGTGCGCCTTCTCGAGAGGGGCTTAGAAGCCGGGGCAAGAAAGTGAGCTCAGCGGGCCTCCGCGCTCCAAGGAATTAGCCAAAATAGAGAGAGAGACAGAAAGAGAGAGAGAGAGAGAGAGGAGGAATAGAAAGAAAGAAAGAAAGACACAGGGACCGAAGCTCTGATGGAGCAAAGGTGTTTTAATCAACATGGTGTGGGCATATATACTGTCTTACAAGGTGGTTATCCTCAGCAAAGACAAAGATTAAAATTCCAGACTTACAAAACATAAGATGATCCCTATCAAAGAGAGAGAGTTGCAAACAATCACCTTTTACCATTTGGCTCATAAAAAGGAAGAGGTTACTTATCACTGTAATGAGAAATGCAGGGAAAGGTGTGCCTCTCCTCTTAATTCCTGAATATTCAGGAATCAATATGGGCCAGAGGGTTCCTGACAGATCCAGAACAGCACCCAGGAAGCCTCTTGTTAAATGCTTCCTGACAAACGAAAAGTGGCAACAATACACAGAAGAACTACAAAAAGGGTCTTAATGACCCGGATAACCATGGTGGTGTGATCACTCACCTAGAGCCAGACATCCTGCACTGCAAAGTCAAGCGGGCCTTAGGAAGCGTTGCTAAGAACAAAGGTAGTGGAGGTGACGGAATTTCATCTGAGCTGTTTCAAATCCTAAAAGACGATGCTGTTAAAGTGCTGCACTCAATACAGCAGCAGATTAGGAAAATTCAGCAGTGGCCACACGACTGGGAAAGGGCAGCTTTTATTCCAATACCAAAGAAGGACAAGGCCCAAGAATGTTCAAATTATCACACAATTGCACTCATTTCACATGCTAGCAATCCTTCAACCTAGGCCTCAACAGTACATGAACTAAGAACTTCCAGATCTACAAGTAGGATTTAGGAAAGGCAGAAGAACCAGAGGTCAAATTCCCAACATCTGTTGGATCATAGAAAAAGCAAGAGTATTCCAGAAAAAATCTGCTTCATTGACTACATTAAAGCTTTTGACTGTGTGGATCACAACAAACTGTGAAAAATTCTTAAAGAGATGGGAATACCAGACCACCTTACTTGCCTCCTGAGAAATCTGTATGTAGGTCAAGAAGCAACAGAACCGAACATGGAAAAATTGACTGGTTCAAAATGGGGAAAAGAGTATGTCAAAGCTGTATATTGTTACCCTGCTTATTTAACTTATATGTAGAACATATGTGAAATGCTGGGCTGAATCACAAGCTGGAATCAAGATTGCTGGGAGAAATATCAACAACCTCAGATGTGCAAATGATACTACTCTAATGGCAAAAAGTGAAGAGGAGCTAAAGAGCCTCTTGATGAGGGTGAAAGAGGAGAGTGAAAAAGTTGGCTTAAAACTCAACATTCAAAAAATGAACATCATGGCATCTGGTCCCATCACTTCATGGCAAATAGATGGGGAAACAATCAAAACAATGACAGTGTTTTCTTGGTCTCTAAAAGTCACTGTGGATGGTGACTGCAGCCACGAAATTAAGATTCTTCCTCCTTGGAAGAAAAGCTATGACCAATCTAGACAGCATAATAAAAAGCAGAGACATCACTTTGCTGACAAAGGTCCATCTAGTCAAAGCTATGGTTTTTCCAGTGGTCATGTATGGATGTGAGAGTTGGACTATAAAGAAAGCTGAGCGCTGAAGAATTGATGCTTTTGAACTGTGGTGCTGGAGAAGACTCTTGAGAGTCCCTTGGACTGCAAGGAGATCCAACCAGTCCATCCGAAAGGAAATCTGTTCTGAGTATTTATTGGAAGGACTGAGGTTGAAGCTGAAGCTTCAATACTTTGGCCACCTGATGTGAAGAACTGACTCGTTGGAAAAGACCCTGATGCTGGGAAAGACTGAAGGTGGGAGGAGAAGGGGACAACAGAGGATGAGATGGTTGGATGGCATCACCCACTCGAGGGACAGGAGTTTGAGCAAGCTCTGGGAGATGGTGATGGACAGGGAGGCCTGCCATGCTACAACCCATGGGGTTGCAATGAGTCAGACACAACTTAGTGACTGAGTAACAAAAATGAAAAGCCAAATTTCTTTTTTGAAAGTGGATCTATATATGAAATATCAATAAAGCCCAAATTTTTTATATTTTTTAACAAAAATTAAATCGAAATAGAACCTCTCTTTTCTCCCTGTGCCAAATAGATGTCTCAATGCCCACTTGTTTGATTACTCCCGAGAGAAGTACTGCTAGCCCCAGCCAGGAGGAACCTAAAGGCCAGTCTAGAGTCCTTTGCAGCCCCCACCCCGCCCCCTGAGGCCGCCCGGCTGTGCCCAAGCTGCTCCGCCCACAGGGTGCTGGCCTCAGAGACCCACTCACCGACTTGCGGCTGGCCAGCCAATGGCCAAGCCTGACTGAATCCTGTTTCCCCACAGAACTTCCTTCCAGTTCTCAGGAAATTCATATGTATTTTTGAATCCCAAGAGAAATCAGTAAGACGGGAAAACAGATGATCATTCTCCCGGAAGAATTAGAGCTTGCTAATCAACACAGAGACACTGCCAGCTGGGGAAGCCCCTGGAGTCACGTCAGAGCTGGGAATGGGGACGGCGGTGTGGGCAGGTTCAGGAACCGGGCTGTGCCCCGTGTGGGAGAGGTCCACGCAGCCTCCCTGAGAGCCGCTGGCAGGGCAGAATGTGCCTGAGGGCCCGTGAGTCATTCCTGCCCACAAACTGCAGCGCAGTCGGCACATAGGCCCAACGCTCTGTTCAAACCCTGCGGGATGCGCTGAGAAGTAGCGTCCTCGGGGTGGGGGGGGTCCGGGTCTTCATCATGTCCTCCCGGACCTAATGTTCCTCCTTAAACAGAACTCTCTAAACATCCACGGTGATGAAGAGGGTCTGAGAAATACTGCAAGTATGTTAAGAACAATAAAGGTAGTCTACCAAGTTGTGGCCAGAGCTGTTTTAAATCATAGAGAATGGTGCATTTATTATCATATCTTTCTAAAATAGAAAAGGGAACTTCCTGGTGCTTTCACTGCTGGGGACCCGGGTTCAATCCCTGGTTGGGGAACTGAGATTCCACAAGCTGCCTAGGGCAGCCAAAAACGTAAATACATAAAAATAAAAAAAGCCACCAAACTTTTTTTTTGGGGGGCTGGGTACCGAGTGGCATGTGGGATCTTAGTCCCTTTACCAGGGGTGGAACACCGAGCTCCCTACCTTTGAAGCTGGGAGTCTTAATTAACCACCGGACCGCTGGGAATTCCCAGGCCCTCAAGCTTTCAACACAACCTGTCATAGGAAAATGATTCAGTCATTTTAAGCAATCAGCATTAGAGTGGTGGAAATTCTCAGGTGTTCTGACTTCCCGCCCTGGACTCTCAAGGATGAAGACCCATCAGGAATTCAGGACGCCAGACGCCCCACCCAGGGATGGTCCCTTCCCCCTGGTCAGCTGTATCAGGCCCTTGTTCATCCAATGCTTTGAGAACTCTGACCACACCCGGGGCGAGGCCCTGGGATGCAGAGTGACTGGCTGAGGGCCTTGCCTGCCAGGAGAAGGTCATCAGGGAGATGGAGGCGGCTGTGAACAGGTGGCTAGAACTCCAGGCCCAGGGGGGCGCCTGCAGCCAACAGTCTGGGCACAACACCCTCCACCCCCTGGGCCAAGCGGGGCTCCAACACCCGCCTGTGTGCCAGCAGACCTGCAGCCACAATTAGAGACAACGCCATGAGGTCATGGAGTCTGGGGCCCCACCCAGCCGGGCAGCCCTGATTCACACGGGGCGCGGCCGCTGGGAGCCCAAAGGGCACACTCAGGGAGTAGACCTCCCAGGGCGGCCGCCATGGGGGCACCCCCACAGGGGGCCTTGGCCCGGCGCCCCGCGGGGCAGGCCCAAGTGCGCCATGCCCCCTCCGCCCCGGGGCCTGCTCTTCCCCTCTCCCGGTCCCCCGGTACACGTTTACCCCCCAACACGTGGATTGGGAGGGCAGCGACCCTGAGCAGGCTTGCTCCCAGCGGCCCAGAGCAGACTGGCCCCGCACCCCTCAGGAGGGCCAGGAAAACAGCTCTGGATGGTCTCCAGTGCTCACGTGGGGTGTGTGCAAGTGTGATTTCACTTCACTGAGGCGGGAAGCCTAGTGAAGCTTCCAGGAGCACTGACAGGCTAGGCATCAGGACGCCGGTAGGGGCAGGACGAGGGTCACTCCAGGCGAGCGGCCCCAGATGTCACGGCAGTCCCAGAGCGGGCACAGCGTGCTCTGGGGCAGGGAAGGCTGCCCGGCCACCCCGAGGCGC